CAACAAATAATAAAAAATGATACTTTTTGAATAAAATCTTCTTATAAATTCGTGTTTTTTTTTGTTTTCTCCAAAAAATGCCCCTATAACAGGTGGTTTTTATTGCTTTGTATTATTCTCTATCGTATTACCTTTGTAAAACCAAAAATCGCATGTCTCTATCCCTATCACAACATTGTCTATGATAGTTTGAACAAAGGCCTACCACAACATTATTCTCCGCTACAGGTAGGGACCATTTTAATTTTAACTAAAATGCTTATTTTACTTCGAAATCTTTCGAAATCGCCCGGATTGTTGCAATTTCATACAAAACTTGCGCGCAAGAAGCAAATCTAGTATGTAAAATCATCAAACTTCTAATGCTCGTAACTCAGTTCAGACTGAGTTTAGAGGTATACATACATGTCATAGTAAGTTTGGTTTATTACACTATTTTGTAATAAAAAAACAAGGTTTGGTCGATGGCCGCGCGAAAAAAAAGACGCCAATTTCCGCCATTGTCTTTTATCAAATAACCAAAAAAACACGAATTTAAAAGCAGATTTTTTTCAAAAAGTATCATTTTTTATTATTTGTTGGCATTTTCTGAGTATTTTATGTATTTTTTTAGTATCGTCTGTTATTTAGCATTATTACTGTTTTTACAGGATATACCTCTTAGTTTAAAAGTTATTACGTTTTCTTTACAATAAGTAACTAATTGGAAAAAAAAATCTATAACAAATTAAAAAAAAATCTCAAAAAATTTTTGACCTGTTTTTTGTCGATAAAAATAGATCTAGTTTCACCTAATTTCATATGTGCACTTTATCGTAACTCACACTGTTTTAAATATAGAATCGGATCTAATCAAGGATTACGAAAACAGCAGCTTTTACGATCGAGTCATTAACTGCTTAGCTGAAAGTTCTCCTGTTTTAAAAAACATGTTGATTGGCTAGCTTTATATTATTATTTGTTATTAGTAAATACCTACTTATTATTTTACTTTATTTTAGTATTGTAATAAATTTTTTACAGTTTGTTTATCTCAATTTGTGTATCTCAGTATTTTTCGATAGTATCCCATCACCATGATCTAGTCTCGGGCCTCGGGATTGCGATCAGCCACCCGGGCCCTTCCGGCCCAGTCCGACCCTGCGCTTTAAGTACCTACTGTTCATAGTCGCGGGTTCATACTTAGGTAAGTATACCTATTATAATTGGAAAGCGTTGCTTCTCCATTTGTTTTAGTTGGATATTTCACCTTAATTGTAATGGTGCCAAAGCAGAATTTATATAGGAGATATTTTCACATTAATTATGCAAAAATAAAGTCAACAAAAGTGTTTTTCTTCCGCAGCTACAGACATCGAATAAACCTCAGCCATTTATAACGTAATATGAGCGAGATAATGTGTGCCCCGGGCAAGACAAATTTGCCAACTTTTTCTGTTGAACCACCTCTTTGTGTGAAATGGTTAACGTTGAGAATTGTACAAAGTGTTATTAGAAAAGTTTTCATATTACTTAATCTTGGTAATTCATTTTGCCATAAGTACATAGGTAACTAGTTTATTATTGAAAAAAAAAAACTTAATTTAACCAGCCTAACAAAAAACTCTCGGCTCTATTAACCATAAGCTTTAAGGGTTAACTCGATGAAAACTAGGATGTGTTATCAAACACATTTAATTTTGAGCCTGCGCGTGCGGTTCTAAATAAAACTACCTACCGAAAACTTGAGAGTCGAAACTCTAACGGGTAAACAATACAGACAATTTGGAGGATGAGAGTTGCGATTCTAAGTGGGACACACAATAGGTAACACTAACTGAAAAATCACTAAAATTTTCAACCTGTGAGTGAGTCATGTCAGACTTCTTCGGATACTCCAAATTACATTTTAACAGTTAATTACCAACATTACTCGTGATACGAAAGATAGATAGATAGATAGACCATTTAAAACTGGCAAATAAAAGAAATGCAAAATTGAAACGGCATATTAAGGCAGTCTTATCGCTCGGAAGCGATCTTTTCCAGTCAATTAAGGAAGTTATTTAGGAGGTTAGAATGTAGGTACCTACTTATTTATCAGTTAGGTAGTAAGTAGTTACCTATTATTGTTTAGAAGCAAAAACTTGATTAGATATACCTCATACGCGTCAGTAGCCTCTTTTCATCACATGCATCGATTTTTTCGGTTGGGTTTTTATTTTTCATAAAAAAGCAACCAAATCAGTACCCGCAGCATGCGTGACTGTCCACAGTTTGCCCGAAAATTGTCTCAACAATACGGATCTGATGGAAATCCTCGCAAAAACCGACAGCTTAAAATTTACATGAAAAGTAGGTACGTGGCTTAGCGAGGTGGCGACGAGGACGTGTTTTTACCTTGGGCTTTAACTGTTCACTTTTATTCGAAATTGGCTTCGAGGCTTATTGGCTAAAGAGATTATAATTTTCTAAAGGTATGTTACGAAGTCAGTTTTTGTTGGGAACTGGGATATTATAACTTAAAATTATTTAAAGTATCTAAGCAACTACCTACAACATAAACTAATGTTACCTATATTATAAAAGGTAAGTATTTATTACCTACATTCAAACTATGTAAATCTTCGAATTACATCCTTCTTTACCTTTAATTACCTAAATAATGTTCTAGTTACCGAAGTCAATGTTAAGCGACCCAAGTTAGCAAGATTACCGCAGTCTATTAGCTCGGATACCTATTTGTTACCCAACACTGAAACTGAACCTTGCTATCCAACTAAGTAGGTAGGGTAAGTGCGTTAGTTTTCGTCCAATTATCGGAGTTGCCAACTTTGTGATGCGAAATAAATATTTTAAAATACCCTTACTCATATGTATCATATGTCGTTTTAGTCCTTACATAGTCTACTTTACGTTAATATTATATGACAATAAGTAAATNCAATAGGTCGAAGGACAAATGGACGAAAACTAATCTACAGGAATAGCTAATTTTGGTTTTCGTCCACCCCAGTGCTTGCTCATGACGTCATGGACGAAAACACAACAACGTTTAAAGCTGTTTTTTGTTTTCGTCCACATATTTTTAACGGTTTTTATGGGTTTATCACTGTTAAAAAGTGGACGTAAACTAAAATGTTTGTTGTAATAGCAATAAAGATCATATTGGAAGAAAAAACATTGAATTTTGTAGGTCCATTGAAGTAAAATGATTATTAAAAATATTAACTAGGTGTCAGGGTTTCCGTCCACGTGGACGAAAACCAAAATCTTGCAAAATTGTTATGCTAGTATTAGTCCACTTAATTATCTAAGATTTCTATACAAAAGCTTTAATAAACCCTTAAAATAGTGTTTATTATGCTAATAATTAGACATACGTGCCAAAAACATTTACATAAAGTAGCTAAAACAGTAATTAAACATACCATGAAAGTTCCCTACCAGCACGTTTTTTTTCTAACTTGACGACGTTTTCCATTCACCTGTGTGCAGCAGCAACTTCCGTAGATTTTTTTGGAGTTATTACCTATCAAATTACATTTTCATGCAGGCAGAACTGTTACTTAGATATTATAGATTGTAACAAGTCCAAACTTGCACGGAAAGTTAGATTTGTATTCTAATTATCCGTATTTGTTTGTGACAAGTCGGTCAAATGGACGAAAACAGGAGCTGGACGGAAAACCGGCGCAATTACCCTACTTACTAGAACCTACGAACCTAGTGCCAGAAGAAACGTAGCAAACTAAACGAAGGAGACTTTAAATAAAATAGCATCGCGCATTTTCATAGGAGGTAAAAAAGTAAAAATAGCACGGTCACCGTAACAGGCGGTATTCAGCAGGTGACAAATGGAATATATTCCAGACAGCAGCGAGCCCTCGCGTGACTCGGAATGAAAATATCGCATGGCATCCATGGCTTATAAAACTTAGCTTTATGAATGTCTTTCAGACTTCTGTTAGAACTTTTATCCAATAACATAAACTTGGGTAGACGTACCCGCTTACACTCGTGTTACCACAATATTTATTCACGCTTGGTAGGTAAGCAAGTTTAATATACAGTCAAACCTGGATAAGCGAGAGTTCAAGGGAGCACAATCTCATTCTCGCTTATAGAGGTTTCTCACTAACCCGAGTTTCTCGCTAATGCAGGTACATGGGTAGCGTTTCTCTCTTATAGGGGTACGCAGCAATAACAAATTCCTTCGCAATTGAAAACTATAAACTGAGTAAGTCTGACAAACAGGACGGTACACAGGCACACGTGTCCATTTGAAAAGAATGCGATAAAATAACAACAATAAAGTTATATTTAGTTCCACGAAATAGAATAGGAACAATATTGACGAGAATACAAAAACAATGGTAGGAAGTTCCACGAAAGTTAAGAATGAGTCATAAAATAGCACAATATGTTAAATTTGTAAATAAAGGTCGACTGTCGCTTATAGAGGTATAGATAAGTAGCAGTCTCACTTACGGAGGTCTATGAGGGAAAAACGACTCTCTCTTACAGAGGTTTCTGTTTCTCGCTAATAGAGGTTTTGGGAGCTTAAAATGACGGGTCCTGGCTATTACTCTCACTTATAGAGTTTTCTCACTTATCCAGTTCTCACTTATCCAGGTTTGACTGTAGTTACTAAGCACAGAACATAGAAAGATGTTCTGTGCCCCTAAGGACATAACTAGACCTAACAACTACGGTAATACCTATTTACAAATACCTACCTACCTAATCACTATGTTATGAATTTATATTATGTGGTTTAAACATGATTAGATTTAGTCTTGATATGTTTTAGATAAAACATTTTTAGTTACTTACAGTCATACCTACTTTCATCGAAAAATCACCAAGACCAATATCAGAAGATACTTTGGGCTTAACCATTGCGCCAAGTAAGTAGTTATCTAATCCTAAGGTTATCTATTTTTTCTCCATTTGTTTGGTTACTAAAAGGGGGAGTTAGTACTTAGCAAAAATTTACTAAATGAGAAAAAAAATTGCATCATAAAATGTTTTATTTTTCAAATTACATAATAGAAAAAGGATCACTTATTCCTACTTAAGTTTAAGTAATATTATAAAAATCCTTAGATTAATAAAGCAAAAATCATAATGTGAAATTATCAAAACAACATAAATGCATGACATTTTCAGTTACTCATGATGCAATTGTTCTGAAACACTTGATCCAACATTTTATACATCAAACTGAACAAATTTATCTAGCGCTTCCTCTGTACTTGCATATAATGATAGCAGTGTATTTTCTGTCTCATATGTAATTTTATTTAATGGTTTCCATGAATGTTTGTGTGCTTTAGTAACTGCTGAAATGATAGCATTTTCTAACTGTGTATCGTCTATTTTCATACCTTTCATGTCCTCTTTCACTTGATTCCACAATAATACAGAAGGTGACAACTCATCACACCCTGAAGGCAAGCGCAAAACTTCATGTCCGTGGGCATTTAACAATCTATCAAGTTCATATCCTGAACTTGGTTTCTTGCATCTGGATATAAGTTCATACAACTCAGCTTTGCACATACTATCGCTGTACGGAATATTAGCCATTCGTAGCCAGTTCAACATGTCAGCTTTTGTGTGATATCTTGTAATTGTTTGATCTATCAATTTGCCATGTATTGGATGATTATCAATAACAACAGCACATCCTTTTTTTAAATGTCTAAACAAAACATCAACAACAAATTTTTGGTAAGTTGCCACACAAATTTTATTAGTAATGATATAATTTTCTAATCCTGCATCTGAAAGAACATGGTAAAAATAAAATCCCTCCGCTAAGCACTTTTCATTATCCACTATGTAAGGACAATCATTATCAAAATCAGGTTTGTTAAATGTAAAATGTTTTGTAATGTATCTCTCTTCTACGTAGGCCATACGAATTTTTGCGTTCCTCAACTTTTTATAGTTTTTTATATAATTATATCTTTCAAATGTTATTTCTGCATCTTCAACTATCATTGATCCTTTATTAGTTTTTCTGTAATCAAAACCCATTGAAATCAAAGCATATCGAAAGTCATCAATATTTTTGAATGTGGTTATTTTGAGCTTAGACATACATAGATAGTTATAGAGATCTTTGAAATTCGGTCTATGTTCATTTTTATAAAATTTTAGTAATGCCTTTAGAATAACGATACGATGCCTTATTGATTGTTCATTGTTTTTGGTGGCGTTGCTGAAAAAGACTTGATTCAACATTGCCTTCGGGAGTCCAGTGTAAAAAGCAACTCTTTCTTCAAATTCATTTAGCGGCACTTGCAAACATTTATTTTCTGCTTCTACCTTACAATTTGAAAGGATGGTGTGCAAAATAGGTTTAATTTTCTTATCGATAACTGTATTTTCATCGTAATCTGCCATTCTTCAGTCAGTTTAGAAAATAATGATGTAATTATGTATTTCGAGATAGAATTACCAGCCAATCTGTAATAGTAAAGTATAAGTAAGTACCTATTTTATAATTCAACAAAGATTGTAAAAGATTTTTATAACTAATCGAGAAATAACGTTAAGTTCAATGAAAGTTTACCTATTGAATAATAGTTGAGCATGTGTATTCTTAGTAATTTATAATAATGGTAGCTTCTTATACACAGTAAAAGATTTTTTTCTCAATAAACTTAATTTAAAAATGTTATTAATTTCGTATAGTTTACAAAAAAGACCGACAAATAACACCAAAACAACACGCGAGACGCGAGTCCAAAGCACAGATTAGAGAGTATGTCTAAAAGATGAGACAGCGCACAGATTAGAGAGTTTCCTATGTATTACTTTTCTCTATGTTAGAGAGTACAGACAGCGCGAGTCGCAGTGTTGCCAGTCGGGTCTTGTCAGAAATTACCAGAAATATAAAAAAATGGAACCTTTTTGAATAAAAAGTAACCTACTACTTTGCGTGCGGAGCGATTGTGTAAGGTTGTTCATGGATGGAAAATGAATACAATTGATCATCAATCATTTACCTAAATTCGAAATTTTCAGAAATTACCAGAAATATAAAAAATGGAACCTTTTTGAATAAAAAGTAACCTTCTACTTTGCGTGCGGAGCGATTGTGTAAGGTTGTTCATGGATGGAAAATGAATACAATTGATCATCAATCATTTACCTAAATTCGAAATTTTGACCATTCCATGAAGACCGAAAAGTGACCGGTCGTATAAAAACGTTTCATGGATTTGCGTTTCACTATCGAAAAACATTGGCTAAAACTCATTTTTTGTAACAAACAATAAATCAAATTCATGTTTAAATGCAGTTTATGACATAATTTTAAATTGTCACTATTAATATTTTTTACTGAATAACCTGTAAAAGTTAATTCTACAATTTCTGAAAAATCACCTAAAAGTAACCTTTTCATTAATGTAACCTAAAAGTAACCAATGCAGTTCAAAAGTAACCTAAAAGGTTACAAAAGTAACCTTCTGGCAACACTGGCGAGTCGCGAAAAAGCGAGTGTCAAAGTGACATAACTGACAGATGACAGAAGATGGTTGATCTCCACAGATCACGTAATAGTTGGTCTCCAAAGATATAGTAAGTAGATAGCGTTACGTGGCGGCTCGCCTTCTAGAGATGGGTTTCCACCCGGGTAAAAACCCACATGAGGGTAAAAACCCAATAAAAACCCATTTCATTCCACCCGTGGGTGTTTATACCGGGTAAAACAAACAATTTCACAATTTTATCAATTGGTATCTTTTCTTTATTTTTATTGAATTTTTTTCATTTCAGTTTATTAATTAATATGTAATAAGTCAAATTTAACACTAATATGCATTTATATTGTAGCCAAATCGTAAAATTGATCACGTTATGATGATGTGACCAATCATTTTATAAAATGGTGTTATTATTTCAAGAATCGTTGAACCGATTTAGAAGAATAATTGTAGTAGGAACACAATAATTTGTGATCATGGCAAGGACATGGGGGGGGGGGGAGGGGAGACTTGGAGTTGAATTTTAACGTATATCCCAATGTCTAATAGAATCATCATCATCATCTCAGCCATAGGACGTCCACTGCTGAACATATGCCTCCCCCAATGCTTTCCATGGTGCCCGGTTGGTAGCGCTGCGTCCAGCGCCTTCCTGCTGAACCTACCTTTATGATGTCGCCGATCCACCTTGTGGGTGGACGTGCCACGCTGCGTTTTCCAGAACCTTGCTGTCCCATCGGCCGTCAGTTCTGCGTACTATGTGCCCTGCCCATTGCCACTTCAGTTTGCTAATCCGTCGGGCTATGTCAGCGTCTTTAGTTCTTTTACGGATCTCCTCATTTCTGATTCGATCTCGTAAAGAAACACTGAGCACAGTCCTCTCCATAGTACGCTGTGCAATTTTGAGATTCTGTATAGGCCTATAGTGAGAGGCCACGTTTCCGAACCATAAGTCATCACTGGTAACATACATTGGTTGTGGACTTTACTCTTCAGGCACTGAGGTATTTTGGACGAAAAAGTGTTGCGTAGTTTCCCGAACGCTGCCCAGCCGAGTTAGATTCGACGATTGACCTCTTTCTCGAAATTGAACCTACCTAGCTGAATCGTTTGTCCGAGGCAGATACTTGTCAACTATTTCGAGGATTGAGCTCCCAACCGAAATAGGTTGACATAAGCTTTGTTTTGTCCATATTCATCCGCAGGCCTACCTGTTGGGAAACTCCATTAAGGTCTTCGAGCATTGTGCCAAGATCTTCCAGCGATTCTGCCATGACCACAATAGCGTCAGCAAACCTAAGGTGAGCGTCCTCCAATGCAGCGGTGAACAGTTTCGGAGATATAGCATCGCCCTGCCTAACACCTCGCTGTAGAGGAATCGCCCTCGTGCACAGAGCACCTCATGCGATTCCTCTACAGCGATGTTTATATCTCCGAAACTGTTCACGGCTGTATTGGAAGATGCTTTCAAACTCCTGGAATGGGAAGGATTCGGCATAAACATGAACGGCGAGTAGGTACATCACTCACCTTCGGTATGCCGACGATATTGTGGTCATGGCAATGTACAATGGCATGGTACAATGCTCGAAGACCTTAACCGAGTTTCCCAACAGGTAGGCCTGACGATGAATATGGACAAAACGAAGCTTATGTCGAATGTCCATGTTGCGCCCTACCCAGTTTCAGTTGGGAGCTCAATTTTCGAGATTGTTGACAAGTAAGTCTACCTCGGACAAACGATTTTTACCTCTACAGCGTACTATGGAGAGGGCTATGCTTGGTGTTTCTTTGCGAATTCGAATCAGAAGTGAGGAGATACCGTAAACGAACTAAAGTCGCTGACATAGCCCGACGGATTAGCATGCTGAAGTGGCAATGGGCAGGGCACATAGTACGCAGAACTGACGGCCGATGGGGCAGCAAGGTTCTGGAATGGAGGCCGCGTACCGGAAAACGCAGCGTGAGACGTCCACCTACAAGGTGGACCGACGACATCGTAAAGGTAGCAGGGAAGCGCTGGACGCAGGCCGCTACCAATCGATCAACATGGAAAGCTTTGACTTACTTGACTTATGGTCCTATGCCCCCTAGATGGGGCAGAGGGCGTCCACAACAGTCCTCCATCTCGTTCGGTCTTGGGCTTCTCGCTTGATCTCGCTCCAGGTCTTGCCGATCTTCTTCGCCTCGTCCGCTACAGTGCGCCGCCAAGTTTTCCTGGGTCGACCACGTTTGCGTTTTCCTTGGGGATTCCAATCCAGAGCCTGCTTTTAGGGATGTGATCGGGGTCCCTTCGGAGAGTGTGGCCAATCCAGTTCCACTTGCGGCGCTTGATCTGCTGGTCGATCGGAATTTCGTGGCAAGATATTGCCGCCGACAAAGTTTTCCAATTTGAACGAATTTGAAGTCGCCGACTACATAAGTACGAGTAGTTATGTACAAACACCAACAAAAAAGTCGATGACAATGTTGGTGTGTAGACTGTAAAGGTAGACGGAGGAGTCTAAAAATGTCTAAAAAATAAATTCCATTGGGGTTTTTTCACTTTATGTTCATTCTATGCTGTTCAAGCTGGCAGGACTCGGACGCCGTTAAAAATTTAAAAGTGGGATTGCCAACATACATCGCGTGGCCTCCCGATAAAGATCCCCGGGCGTCAAGGCGCTTTGTTTACATTGTACGCGCGGACTTCGTGACACACTGTGATATTGTGAACTGTGTGAACATCTCCCACAGGAATATAATATCTTGACTCGTGATTTTCATTGTTCTTATGTGTTTGCCTGCACGCAGTACTTTTACCCACAGAATGGGTTTAGGTTAGGTAAAAGGAAGGTCAATTCAGTTGTGGAAGGTGATAATAATACGTTTAGCTCTAACATGATGAGCAGATGCTGCTGAAGGTACCATACACGTAGAACAAAAAAATATGGTTTAAAGGCAATAATTTTGATTTAATAAATACAAAAACGTAATTACAAAATTACTTATTAATTGTCCCGTTAACCTCTCGGTGTCTCGTGGTAAGCTAAATAACTCTATGTTTACGAGTAGTTCACCTCAATAGTTCAGCGGCGGTGATTCGAACAGCTTGGGCGTTGTAGGTACTAGCTATAGAAAGAATCCAAGAGTTGCTAATCCAATACACGATCAGGTTTTAAAAATAGAACGTACCTACTTACTAGGTACTTCCAACCAACAGAATCTGCACTTTTAACGAAAATGTGTTAAAAATAATTTTATTTAGCTGCAGCTAACGACACGGCACACAGGGGACGCCTCTTAAAAGCGCATCTGAACAACGCAATTAAGTCGTACACTGTCATGCCCACGGCAATTACTGTCAACAATGAGGTGAGACCGAGCAGTGGCGTAGCGTGGCTTTTCGCCGCCCGGGGCCGTCCGGAAATCCGCCGCCCTTTATTTTAATTATAAATATTTTAAATATTATATTGAATGGACTTCAGGTACACTATTCACCTTATTTGTTGAAAGTCAAAATAAACTACCACGCACTGCTTCAGAAGGAAAATACATTAAAGAGAAGCATTTGCTTGAAACCCACATGAAGTTTGATTTTCTTAAATAGCTCAGCTTTATTATGTTACACTAGGTGTATAACAATAAACAATAATAACAAGTATTAAAGTATGTATTTGTCAATTGAGAGTAAATGTTATCTTAAATTATATACAGGGTGGAAACGATAAGTGATCTCACTCGATTATTTCTAAACTATACAAGATATCAATTAACTAGTTACTGATCCTGAAAGTGCTTCATGAGCTCTATCAAACGGTATTAATAATAGGTTACAGAATAAACTGGATCTATCCGAAAATTCAATGTTTCCAGCTTCCATACATTTGGTAAAGTCACATGATTTTAAAAACTACACATGATTTCGTATAACTTATAACTGATTCTAAAAGTGCTTCACAAGCTCTATCCAATGGTATCAATAATAGGTTACAGAATAAACTGGATCTATCCAAAAATTCAATGTTTCTTTCTTCCATACATTTTGTACTACCACATTAATGACACTCATCTCTTGACAATATTATAGCAAGTAAAGCCTAAAACCAATATTTTCCATGAATCATCTATATATATAAAAATGAAACCCGTTTTCCGTTGTCACGACATAATGAAAACGGCTTGACCGATTTGGCTGATTTTTTTTTTTTAGTTTTCTAATACTCTGTACAAGGTTTTTACGGAAAAAAATATAAAGAAAATCTCTACGCTAAGGCGGTACGAAGTTCGCCGGGTCAGCTAGTTTCAAATAAGAATACAAT